CACAGAGACTGGCGAAACGTTAGGAAGAACAACCTTCAGAACACGGCCAAAGAACCCGAAAAACCCACAACAACCATTAGATCCCGGCCATGAAAGCCTTCGCGATTACAGAGATTGATTCATAAATATCTTCAGTAGCTAATCACACCTCAGAATTTCCCAAACTACACACTCTATTACTTTCTCTGACTTTTCTCTACTGCCTCACTGACACTGACTTACATTTCTCTTACTCTCCCTGACTGACTCAGGCTCCGCCTCTTATAGCATCTCTTTTGGCTCTGCCTCTCAGCAACATTAATATGCATGAACCATTATTACATAACAAACATAAACCATTACATAATATAACATGAACCATAGACCTAATACTTAGAGAACGCTACAGTCATCTTCTTTCTTCTTTCATCTTGAGTATATTCCAGAGCTTGAAAAGAGGTACAGTCTAGATTACAACTTCTACTATTCCAGGAGATACTGGAAATCTTAATCCAAAAAGTTTTCTTTTCAAACTCTGAAATCCACATAAGATGCTGAGCATGACACACTAGGAGTTGTAGTCCTGAAAAGAAGGGAAGGTGGGTTTTTTTTTGTAAATTGACATGGGTTGTTTACTTCTTTCTAGGTTGAAGCCTGTCGGCTCTACAGCAAATTCACTGCCAGACCAAGCAGTCTAGAAGCTATTCCTGCTGTTATAGAGAAGGTATGAAATCTAAAGCACTGAGGCTCTGTTTGTCCAAGAAACAGCAGCAGAGTAATTTCCACAAAGGTACCTGTGCAGAAAAAAAAGAATAAAAAGTTGTGTGACACTTTTAAGCCTGTAATAAGATTTATTACACATTGAACTTTTATTGACACGTAGCCCATGTAGCAGTAAAAAAATAAAGGCAGGGTACAATGTAACATAGTGGTTGGTAATGAATATATAAATAAATAAATAAGTTGTTGTGTCTCATCTTATTTGTACATCATAAGTGTAAGTGTAAGTTCATCCTATAAATCAGGGATGGGCAACTTTTTTCTGGGGATTATGTTGGCACCTCTGAACCCACTCGTTACTCCTGCGTCTCATCTTGGCCACACACTTCCAGTTTAAACCAAAATGTGTGGCTGCATGCCTTGTTTTTCCTCCTGCAGATCTTGTTTTAAAATCAAAGTGTATACAGATGTGGGGGAGAGGTGTTGCCTACACACACCCATTAAATTTGGCAGTGTGGCAGCAGGTTTGGCAGAAGTAGCAGGGATTGGCGGGCATCTGCAACCCATAAGGCATACATTGCTTCCTCTATTATCAGTGTAAAAAACCAGCTCAAACCTTTGAAGACTGAAATATCTCCATCTTTATTATTTAATGTATGGGATTGGCCCTGTACTTCTATCCATATCAAGTCAAAATGAAGTTTTGTTAGGGTTTAATGGAACTTAATGCAAAAGAAATGTGTATAGCACCGAAGGCTGACAGTATAAATGCTACATACAAACCGTCACAAAGAACATGTTTTTTCTGCCTGCTTTTGTGAACATTATGTTCCTCCAACAAAATACTTATTTTATACGACACTCACAAAGAATGCTTAATGCCACATCATCCTTCCAGTTCTTCTCTTGTGATATATAGCAGAGTTGTCTTGTTAAGTTATTTTTGTTGTTGACACGTGGCTTCCCTTAACCTTCCAGGAACTGGTTTTGTAATGATCCACACTACTGTAGAAAAAAAAAAGGTTGAGCTCTCTGGCTTTTAATCCATACCATTTCAAAGAGTGTTGGCTCAAGCTTTAGCCAAACAACAAATTGAAAGTATTTGAAGAAAAGCCCCAGGCATTTATCCACAGGCCATGCTTCTTAAAATAGGCAATCAGTAGGAAATTTTTTACTTAATAGTTCCAAATTTAACAGCTGATGGTGTCGGTAAAATAGTTCCTGGTTGCAGATGACAGTGAGCTAAGTCCAATAGCTTTTCTGTTTTGTAAAACCCTTTGTTACACCCTTTTCTCTATTGTATATTTAACACCACTTATACATAAAATCTAGTATTTTGGCCTGTTAAAGTTGTAATTTTGATTATTGCAGTGCATCCCTTTTTAACAAATGTTCTCTCCAATGCAGGCTGTCAGGGCCAGTATCTATGGACGTCCAGGTGCCTGTTACGTTGACATACCCGGAGACTTCGTAAATCAGCAAGTGAAAAGGAACTCTGTCAAGTGAGTCCTTGTGGGATGAACCCTTTATTTAAGGGGACTATTACTGGAAATTTTGATTGTGTTTGTCAGTGCTTGTGCTGACTGTGTTCTTGAGAAGGTAGAACATGCACTCTGTGAATAGGTCAAGGACAAAATATTCACTAGAATCAAAGACATAAAATAATCTTAACACCATTTTCTGGAAAGCTCAATGCCATCATAGAAGAGTGCACAGAAGCTGTGGGGTTCCCATAAAGCTGCTACACATGGCTCTTTTGATCTTGTTTCTTGCAAAACAATTAGGTAAGAACATAATCCTTTTCTGCTTCTTGACAGAAGATAGCTAAGAGTCTAGTGTGAAGTTGTTTTTATACTAATTGGGAAAAATCAAGTGAACGTGCTGTATTCTAACAATTTGGAAGAAAGTGATTTATGAAGAAGTAGAACTGATCCCTGCTGCTGCCATTATCCGTGTTCCCAGTCACATATTAAGAAGAATATATAATCCTCCTGAATGTACAGTTTGTAGTAAAATTGCTAGCTGTGGATTAATAGGCAACTTTTTAAAGAGGGTAGACGTTTGTAGGGTATGCATAATGCACCGGTAGAACCTATTTGGCAAGGCATTTCTTTACAGAGTTACATGTTTTAGTAATAATTTAGCAATGATATACCACTAGAGCATTTTTCCTCACTTTACGAGATTAGGCTTTGCTTTTATGTTTATAACGACCCCCAGCAGAGGCTCTTTGATTCAATTGCTCAACCCCCCATTTCTCTCTTCATTCTGCCTTCCAGATATGTAGGATGCTGTCCAGCCCCTCCCATCAGTATGGCTGAAGAGGCTGCAATTTCTAAAGCAGCTGCAATCATCACGCATTCCAAAAAACCACTTGTAATTATTGGCAAAGGTAATCTTTCAGTCATGCCATTGATTGTAAAATCCAACGGTTAGTGTTCCCTTAGCTTGTTTAGAATTTTCATGAAGCAATTTCTTTCTTATTTTTTGAATTAAAACCTGCTGAGAGAGTATTTGTGGGTTCCGGGGTGTGGGCAGAATATAATGGCCTGTTCTAAATTATCCCATTTAAAAACGTAGAATAAGTAGTAATTGAGCATTGAATACAATATTCCTGGAAAATTCAGAGCACACAGTACTGTCCTCTGAAGATGCCGGCCACAGAGACTGGCGAAACGTTAGGAAGAACAACCTTCAGAACATGGCCAAAGAGCCCGGAAAACCCACAACAACCAGAACATGAATTTGTCAGAATTTACCTCATGAATTTTGCTTTTTTGATCTAAATGTCTTATGATGCTGTACAAGTGACCTCTGATACCTACTATTGTTACCCGAATTTCTCCCTCTTGAATGTGCCTTATTATGTGGACATTAACTGAAAATACGAAATCAATCACACATGTAGAAGACCCCCTTAATCCCATAAATGTTTTTGATATTGCTGTATCAGTATCATTTGCACCACATTAAATTATCTTCATTCACTGTTGATCAATGATGCTCCTATTAGCCAAGTTGTATTACCCAGCTGAATTGTGTGTGTGTGTGTGTGTGTGGCACCCTTTTCAGGGTTTTCTAGCTGCAAAGTACTCAGAACTGGTTAACTATTCCCGTCTTCTGGGGGCATTCTGAGATTGCCCAGCTTAAGGCCACAAAGGTGGCTGTTCCAGGGTGCACAGTGGGAATCTGAACTCCCAGTCTCTCAGCATGGTGATTTATTATGACACTGAATAGCTTTTAGCAAAAACATCATCCTTGTAGTTTTCAAAGGGTTTTGTGGTGTATTGAAAAAGTGTCAAAGTATTTCTTGTGGTGGTGGGTATCCTCCTTAGGTGCTGCTTACGCACGTGCTGAAAACAGCATCAGAAAGTTGGTGGACCAGTGTGGGCTTCCATTTTTGCCTACTCCAATGGGGAAGGGAGTTGTTCCTGACAACCATCCGTACTGTGTAGCTGCAGCTAGATCTAGGTAAATAAATGAGTCAAGGCTTCCACTCCTGTCTCTTAATACTAAAAGTTAAAGAATACAATATTCCTGGAAAATTCATCTTCAGTGAACCCTGGGTAGTTCACGAACAAGGGCAAGTAGATAACAACATCCAAGTAGAATTCTTCCATATTATATTCCATTGTACAAACATCAGGTTTATTTATACAGGTACAGAGGTATTTTGGACATAATTTAAAGTATGTATCAGGATGTTTCATATCATCAGTACACTGTTGTCAGCTTTTTGTGGTGTTTTCTATGAAGCACATGTTTCCACCCATTCATAGTCATGGCAGTGAGAACATGGGAAAAACACACATACTGAGTGGAGAATACTGGTTCCTGGCCATCTCTTCTTTGGTTTTTATAAAACATTAGGTGGTTGCATACTCTCTAGAAATTATGTAAGATTCTGAGAAGCCAGCAGGGGTGGTTGAATATGAATTCCAAGGCTTTGAGACACAGAGAGCAATGCATAGTTTCTTGAAAATAAGGGAAAGAAAGAGAGAATACAAACTACCCTTGACGTAACACAGACTTTTGACTTTGGTTATCTGTAAATGTGCCAATAGTTTTTCAGGGTTAATTTTTCCTTGTGTCTGGCTTCTTCACTGCTTCAATAGCATTTGAAAAGCAGAAATTGTTAAATTGTTTTAATTAGACTAGATTACGCATCCTTCAGTCCCAAGAGACTATGGTAACGTGCTCTGTATGGAGGACTTGGAACAGTGTCTAGTGTGGCTGAGAAGGCCAATTCGAGAGTGGCAATTCCTTCCACACTGAAGACAAATCCAATCTGTCCCCTGTCCAGCTCCCTGGTTTTGCTGCTTTCGAGACTGCCTCTTTGCCTCAGCCTGCTGAACAAGGGTCTCTTCAAATTGGGAGAAGCCCTTGTCCAGCAGAGACCCTTGTTTTAAGGGGAGAGACCCTTGTTTTAATTATGCAAAAGAGAGACCCTTGTTTAATTGTGCAAAAGAGAGACCCTTGTTTTAATTACACAACAATAAAATTATTGCTTCCATCATCATAAAGTTGTTTGTGATATTGATATTGGAGCAGCACACTGCATGAGAGGATTCATGGCAATAACTAACTCCAAGGAGAAAACAAGTAATTGTAGGCTCAAACTAGTGTCCTATAATAATAAAAAGAAGCAAAATTTAGTCAATTCTGGTTTTTCAAGTCTATTTTGAAAAACAAATTAGTTTTGATATATATAAAAATAATTTTTTCATTGAATTCTTTGTTAATGTTTTTATCTGTTAGGGCACTGCAAGGGGCTGATACAATCATATTACTTGGTGCCAGGCTAAACTGGATTCTGCACTTTGGACTTCCTCCAAGATTTCGTCCAGATGTGAAAATCATCCAGGTATTCAAAGTGAAAGCTGGAGGGATAGCTTTCCTGAGCTGCAGCACCCAGCTGCAGAGCTTGTGGTCAGGAGTTGGATTCCCCATTGTACCTTGAAGGAGAAGAACCAGCCTGTGTGGGCTTTGGCAAACTGTACAGTCAGCAAGTACCCATAGGAGAAGGGGCTGGTAAACTACTCCCAAGTAATCCTGGGAAAGGTCACCATAAATTGGGATCAACTTGACAATGTCAAGGTTTAATATTTTGTATGTATAGAGTGCTAAAATGATGAAATGGGGTATAAAAATGCAATCCTGATAATGGATCTTGTGCTTAAGAAAATGAGGTTTGAACAGCAGCATATTAAAGGATCTCTTTCCAAGCATAATATAATTCTTATTATATTATTGAAAGTTAACCTCCTTTAAGATTTGGGCAGACTTCTGAAGTCCTGTAGAGTGTCTGAGCATTCTGCAATAGGTTGTATGTATTATACTTTTATCTCACTCTTCCTCAGAGAAGCTGGGAGTTAAGATACATTTTCACTTTACTTCTCTCACAAGAGATCTGAACCTATTGCATGCAAAAGAGGTTTTTTACAATCAGCTTAAGGGCTACATTTCAGTCAATACATTGCCCAACCCAGCCCAAAGTCATCTGTGGCTAAATTAGGGTTTTGGTTCCAGGGCAGTCCCATCTTTCTACATCACTTAACCCACTCTAGGTTTCTCACTAGGCTCTTTGAACAACTGATTTTTATGTTTTTAAATGTTATGTTTGGAAGCAAGAAGTGTCTCACCCAGCATGACAGCTGTTATTTCAGGGGAACTGTAGATCCAGGCAAAACATAGGGAAAGGAAGCAGTTCACCTGCTAAGAAAAAATACTGAGTACAAACAAGCTGTCAGTGTTCCTTGCTCTGGGCTCAAAAGAAATGTGAAGCTCTAATTCTAAGAAGAAAATATTATAGCAGATGGATCATACAATTCTTACTATAACTGAGCCTACATTACTTTTTTGTGCATGTGACAGGTAGACATTTGTGCAGAAGAGTTGGGGAATAATGTGAAACCTGTTGCAGCCTTACTGGGTGACATCAGAGCTGTGTCAGAACAGGTAATGTAAGAAATCCACTTTGGGCCACATGCAGCCTCCAGTAACCCAAAGAAACCCACTTTTTTAAATTCAAGAAGTCCCTTTGTATCCTCCAGAGTGCATGGGGGCAATTCTGCTACGTTTTGAGAAATTTCTAGCACTGCTAGATTCCCAGCACACACCCTTTTTAAAAAAATTCAATCATGACAATGTTATATTTTAATGTGAGCTTTCATGGACATGTCCACTTCCTCAGACATAATAAGAAATAGCATAGTAAATATTTATACATGCCATCAAAATACAGAGATCATGGTTGGTTGGTTGGTTGGTTGATAACAAAATCAGTGGGTATTTAACTGTGGGCTGATAGCCTCTTTGATATACAGGTATAGTCCATTAAAGGTTGTGCTGTGTAGAGAATGTAAGAACCTCTGTCACGAATAACAGTGGCTGAATAACATAAATGTTAATTATGCTGAGGAGACTGGCCTTTTACAGTGCCTAATTACCTTTTCTGTATAGGAGGTTGTCTGGCATAATTCACACATCACAATGATGCTGCTCTTGTGGTCATCCATTGCCTAGGGTAATTCACACATCCCAATGATGTGTGAATTACCCCGGGCAGTGGATGACCACAAGAGCAACATAACAGTAAGTTAGGATGCTCTGGTTTACTTTTGAAGTTTTTTAGGTAGCTCTGTTGAGGAGGAACATATATCTGGGAGATACCGTACAGATTATTGTAGTGTTCATATTCTGTAATGCCCTGAACTACAAAATATGAACTAGATTCTAAAGGCATATGTCATGGATTCTGTTTGTATATAGTAATAAAGATGCACATCCCAGGAACAGCAATTTAGGAAGGTGAAGGTAGCATCCTTCAATTCTGTCTTTAAAGTACTGCTGTACTTTTAGCTTTTAGATCAGCTGAACAAAAAACTTTGGAAATACCCCTCTGATACAGACTGGTGGAAAGATCTACGGGCGAAAATGCAGAGTAATGATGAAACATCTAAGGTACTGTGGATAATATTCTCCTATCCGTGGACTGTTCTGAATTCTTTTATAGATTTCATTAATATCTTTAGATTAAATTGCTTTATGGTGTTTGATGTTATAAACCACTTAGGGTTATATGCAAATGAGGAGTATCATAAAAGCATTTTCTGATCATTATGGTGTGTCAGCAAACAATACATCTCAGTTCTTTCAAAAAGTTAGTAAATAATCAAAAGTATTATGATACTTTTAATTTCTTTTTGTTTTTAAATTTAGTTTTCTTGTTTGAAATTCAGTGCCTCAAACCCAATCTTCCATAAACAAATCAGTGTTTTAGAATTAACCGTGCTTTCTTAAGCTTTATATCTGTTGGGACAGATCTTAACAAGGTCCATTTATTTCTTTTTCCATTAAGGCGCTATCACTACAAAAGCGTTTACCAATGAATTACTATACAGTGTTCTACCACATCAGGGAACATTTGCCGAAGGACTGTCTTCTGATTAGTGAGGGGGCAAATACGATGGACATAGGGCGCACCATGCTTCCAAACTATTATCCCCGCCACAGGTAATTTATTGACGTTTTTCTCTGTTCCTGTTTGTTCTGACACTAGGGTGAATGAGCTATTTGGAAGCCATCAAATGGCTGCTTTGTTCCTGATAAGCAAGGAGAATCCTGATAAAGTTCTTTGTCAAGTCATGACTTGGAAAGTATCTTGAAAGTGGAATTGTGGGTCAGCCTGCGTGGTGGAGGAGCTAATGTGAAATTCCCTGGGAAAAGATTTTTGCTAAATTTATGGTAACAAATACTTTATTCCTCTGGATGGGTAAGGAGAGTCAGTATACCTCTTCTGGTTCCCTTTTTATGGATGTTATAGGCATTCCAAGAATTTTCACTTAAAACGCATCAGCTTTTATTTCAAAGTCTCCTTGATTGTTGTTGTATAATGCCATTTTTTCATTGTTTTCAGGCATCCAATTTATTGATTGTTTCCCAGGTTATTTTTTGCTTTCATTACTTTCCTTTGCCTTGTTTTAAACACCGAGAGTTGATAAGAGAGTATCATAAAACTTGGGAAATTCCTGATAAATTGTTTCTATATGGTCCCCAAAGCCTTTGTCAATGTGCAGTAGAAAATAGTATTCACCGTATCAGTAGAATAGGTTTTTAATTACTTGGTAGAGTTTGAAATGTAATTTCACTGGGCTCTTGTTGCAATAATAAAAAAGTAACTTGGGTCAAATCATTATTTTTATCTCATTACTACTAGGCGCCTGAAAAAAGGTATACTAACCTCTCTTCCTTGCTCACAGGCTTGATGCTGGGACTTTTGGAACAATGGGAGTTGGGCTTGGTTTTGCAATAGCAGCTGCTATGGTTGCTAAAGACCGCAACCCTCAGCAGCAAGTGGTCTGTATTGAAGGAGACAGTGCCTTTGGATTCTCTGGCATGGAAGTGGAGACTATGTGCAGGTAAAACCCTTGCTGAGTTCAGCTTCTTAGAAGTCTTTAATGTCAAGCAAAGCAAGTGTTTTGCTTGACATTAAAGTGTTAGAGTAACCAGGTGTCCTCAGAAGATGAAATGTCTTAAAATGTGCTCCTCCTCGTTAATCACTGCAGGTATAATTTGCCAGTGATTATAATTGTAGTCAACAACAATGGGATATATAGTGGCTTGGATGCAGATACTTGGAAGGAGATGCTGAAACTTGGAGAACCTTCTGCATGGTGAGTACTTCTATGCTGGGCATTTTTCTGCAATTTAATTGTAACATTTTTGCTCTTCCCAATGTGTAATTGTCCTTTCAAAACCATTAGATGTTCTGCCTGACATAATATTTTGGGTCGTGTCACACTTAATCTTATTCTAGTGAGACAACTGAGATGATGATCTATCATAAATTGTGGTTGATGTTACCATGTGCCACGCGCAAGGCCCATTCTAATGAAGAGTGATTATGGTTTTGGTAGTGTTTTTTTCTTAAACATCCATCTATCCATCCATCCATCCAGTGTATATACCACTTGATTAGTGCAAGCACAACACTGGGTACTTTACACAAGATTTCTTCCACTGAAAAATCTGGAAGGAGAGAATGAATACACTCTTTATTCCCAGCAAGTAGAGCATTCTGAGCAGCATCATACAGACATTGCAGCACTGAGAAGTCATTCTGTTTTATATGTTTGTGCTGTACTTAGAGCTATGGAGGATGCTGACTGGCCATGCAAGAGAACAAGGAGAAAGAGGTGGTGTTCACATAACTTCACAGACTTGCAAAAGTAGAGAACAGGCAACCTAAGTATAGGTAATGCACACTGCAAATGTGCCAAAATTATCTCTTCCATTATGCTGCCATTTGTCCACAGAGATGCTTTTTAGTTTTAAATAGTGAAAAACTAAGCTCTAAAGTCAGGATTTTTTCTTTTGCATAAAATTTATTTGATGTTTGGCTAGGACGGTCATCCAGAATGAAAGATTGGAAGGCTCTATTGTTTCACGGCTGGGACCTCTCATTCTTGGGTTGAATCCTGTTCTAAGTTAAATTCTGAAATGAAGCAACGTTCAAATACTTACTCTAACAGTGAAATAGATACCAAGAAAACTGAGTTATTGGATGTGATGTTTAGAAAATCAGTTTGAAAACTTTCTATTGTATCTAGCTGCTTCCTTCAGACTCTTAACACTATGTATACATTGAGCCCCCCCCTTTTTTTTGCTTTATTTCAGTATTCCTCCTGTTTCCCTGTTGCCAAATGCTCACTATGAGCAGATTATATCTGCATTTGGTGGTAAAGGGTACTTCGTACAAACACCAGAAGAACTGCAAGCTGCTCTGAAAGCAAGCCTGATGGATAAGTGCATGCCTTCTATTATAAATGTAATGATTGATCCACAAGCAGACAGGAAGAAACAAGTGAGTAGATCCATTTTTATTCTCCCATCCTGAGCTGTAAACAAAATCCACATCCTTTATCAGGCAAAACAACTTGATAACAGTGATATGTCTTTGGATAGTATTTAAAGCATTGTTTTATTAAGCGACAGCTTGATTATTGAGATTCCATGGAAGGCATGTAAAAGTATATTGTCACCTGGCCATCTTTATCCTTAAATGGATAGTAAATACTATCTGTTTAATAATAAAGCAAAGAAGGCATGTTTCTAAATGGGTTCCTTAGTCTTTGCGAAAGAAGACCACCTTATTTTTTGAACTGTAGTTGTGTATGAATTTTCACTTTGCTGCCTCACATTCTTTGTGTCCAGCATGGAAGTTCTGAGGTCTTTTATATCAGCATCAGACAGATCATACATGTCCCCTAACCCTTTTTCTCTAGACAATAATTAGTTCAGGTTACCATGTGCAATACTGTAAGGATGCATAACAGTTTACAGGCTCATTACCCGTAACAGCAAAGGAAATTGCAAACTAAGAGGTGAAGATGTTGATTGAAGAAACTTTGGGGAAAAAAGAGGCTTGTTGATTAACTAGGCCATCTAGCATTACGTGATAACAGTCCTAAGTTCCTCTACATAAATTTCCTAGATACTTTTAGAGCCACAAGCCATCTATCCTTTCTAAGCTATCTTACTATTTCCTTGAACTGAAAAATGACTTTTCAAAAATTGTTAAAATGTTTAAAAATTGTGAATTTATAGTGAAACAGGTAGTAAAAGATTGTAATGGTAGATTTATAATAATACAGGGTAAAATGGGTTTGGAAGAATATACTTTGGTTAATGTGTACGCACCTAATAATAAACAAGGAGATTTTTACGACACAGTTTTTAAAGAAATGGAGACGGTAAATAATGGTTATGTTATTATGGCAGGGGATTTTGATATGGTTATGGATAAGATAAAGGATAAAACTTTTTATGATCAGAATGATGTTCTTCAAAGAAATACAATATTGAGCAAGAAGGTAAAAAATAATCACTTGAAAGATATTTGGAGGGTAATGAAAGGTGATGAAAGAAGATATACTAATTTTTCAGCAATATATAATAGTTACTCCAGAATAGATTTTATATTCACATCTCAAGATTTAATTCCTAAGATAGTTAATACTGACATCAATTCCATAAAAATAACAGATCATGCTTTGATGTCAATGGAGATTGAGTTTTAAAAAGATTATAAAGACTCTAAAAGATGGAGAATGGATACTAACTTTTTCCAGTACCCAGAGGTAATAGAAAAGATAAAGAAAGAATGGTTAGAATTATGGACAATAAATGACACAAGAGGTACAAAATTAGGCCTGTTGTGGGACACAATGAAAGCAATTTCAAGAGGAACAACAATAAGGGAATACTGTAAATTGAAAAAAATTAAGGAGAAAAATGCGAAAAAACTGGAAGAAGACTTGAGAAATTTGGAAAGCAAGTTTTTTTTTAGAAAGAGATAGAAGGATATTGGCAAAAATTCAGGCAAAGAGTAAAGAACTAGAAAACTTAGAGAAAGTCCAGAGGGATTTGATGTATATAAACAGGTTTTTTTAAATTTAGCAATAAAAATTCAAAATTGTTAGCTAGAATGTGCAAATATAGAAGATTAAAAAATACGATTGGGGTAATTAAAGATAGAACAGGTAAGAGGTGTAATATAATGAAAGATAAATTGAAGATTTTCTAAGAATTTTATCAGAAATTATATAAAGGAAACAATGTACTGAAAGAGAATATAGAAAAATATATAAATGAGAATTTTAAAACTAAATTATTGTAATGTGATAAAAGAATATTAGAAGAAAAGATTAAAGAAGAAATTGCTCAAGTTATTAATAAACTGAAAAATAGTAAAACACCAGGCCCTGATGGATTGGGTCCAGAATATTATAAACATTTTAGTTCCATTTTGATACCTAAGCTAAAAATGATTTATAATAAAATATTGGAAGGCGAGACAATGCCACTTTCTTGGAAACACTCATTAACGATTCTTATCCCAAAACCCACCAAGGATCTAACAGATCCGGGATCTTATAGGCCTATATCTCTAATTGATGAAATCTGCAAACTCCACCTTGAAGCGTTCTGCAGCATCCTGGTCAGCACTTGCAGCCTCCCCATGTCTTCTCACACAGTGGATGCCACTTCTCTTCTGGAACTTTTGGAACCACCCCTTGCTGGCTTTGAATTCTTTTTGGGCTGCACTTCTGGAGGGGTTTCTTTCCAATAAATCATGGTTCAGCTTCCTCGCTTTTTTGCAGATCATGGCTTCACTGATGCTTTCCCCCTCCAGCTGCCAGCTGTTGATCCAGACCAGTAAAAGTTTTTCCACTTCTTCCATTAGGAGTGGCCTGTTCTTTGTTAGGATATGACTCCTTTTGCCACATCAATGTGTTTAAATACATCTTTCTTCTTCAAAATGGTGGCGATGGTTGACTTTGCCATCTTGTATTCCACAGCCAGTTAAATGATACGCATGCCATCTTCATGCTTTTTGATGATCTATTTTGTTTTGATGGAGATTATTTTTTTTTGACTTTGCTCTGTTCTTTCTTTGGAGCCATGTTCAGCACTCCACAGTACAAACCCTGAAAGGCACAGAATACTGTATCATCAGATTCTGGATCCATTCTTCCAGCACAAAAATGCCTGCCTTCCTGAACAAATACCACATCCACTCAAAGAATATTTTCTGATTTTAATAGACCCTGGATCCACATTTTAACCACACAGACAGACATTTTAAAACACTGCAAGATCCATCAGAGCACAGAAACATAACCCCCACCTAGCACTACCCCCCCCACCAAGCTGCAAAAAACCCTGTACAGTACATATAGTAAAGTAAAAACATACAGTAAGTCAAAATGTTCATAACTAGGGCCATTCGTAAGTCGAGGGTTGACTGTATTCTAAAGCCTGTTGGAAATGTAACGAAGAAATTCACATGTATTATCATATGTGGTGGGAGTGTAAATGGATTCAGAAATTTTGGAAATTGATTTTTAAGAAAATATGTGAAAAGATATCAAATTCAATTCTAAAATTGGTTTGTCAGTTTTTGATAAGGTAGAACTTGATTATTGTTCAAAGGAATTGATTTCCAATTTTATGACAAGTGCTAGAATATTAATAGCTAGATTCTGGAAAGATAAAAATGATATTAAATTAGAAGATTGGTATAATGAAGTATGGAAGATTGCATTAAATGATCAATTGACTACTGAACTTAAGATGAAAAGAGGGGAAATAAGTTCAAATATTTTTATGCTATTTGGGGTAAATTTGTTGAATTTGTATTAGTGAAAGGAAAGGGGAAAGCCTCTAAGCAACAATTGATACAATTTTGGAAAGGAGGTTAATGTTAAAAGTATTGTTCCAAAGGGTCCCATGGGTATAGGGGTGCATGGCGGTTTAGACTGCATTAGTAAGTATTTTATATTTTTGTTTTTGTTTTGGAAATTTTTATAAAAAAATTTAAAAAATGAAAAGTGGCTTTCTTTTTCTCCAGCAGCCCAAGTTCAATTTTCTCAATTTCCAGAGTTTACTTGCTCAGGATCTTGTTGTTTTCGGTCTCTGGAGATGATATTATACTACTAATTTGTTATTTGTGTTATTTGGAAAGAAGATTAAATGCTATTGTGTCTCTGGTAGAAGCACCACGCTCATTTTTTTCTTTTAATTCCTATTCTTTTCCATTCGCAGATATTTTATGTGTATTGTGATGGCTTGGCCACCCATTCCTTACAATATTCTATGTTAGTATTTTTAGAGTCACTGTGGGCTTTTTATCCTATTAAAGTAATAAGAGTGTTGCTGGTGTCTCTCACAGTTAATTTTATATTGCTGGGAAAAATGAGACTTCCTGTTTTTATGACTCTTGTCACTCTTCACTTGCACAACATCTTCCTTTTTGATGTTGAGTATTGTTCATCTTTTTTATTTCCAGGATTTCCACTGGCTGACCAGGTCCAACATGTAGCAGAATGGACAAGAACTGGAAATCATGAGCAAAGCTTTTTGGGAAAATATTGAAAATATACTTGTAGAGTTCACACTACAATTTCTATTTCTGCCTTTTCATATAATATAAAAGAAAATTTGTGCCACAATAATTTGTTTAGTCTTTAAGATGCCACAAGATTGTTTGTTTTGCAGAAAGAGACTGATACAGCTGTCCCTATGAAGATGTGAACTTTTCTTTTTAGAAATGCAATTTTAGTTATGTTGACGTGCACCCCGGGCATTCTTATGGGTGAAATGTTAAGTGGAAAACTGCCCCTGGATCTTCCCCCTCCCTTTTCCCTGGTCTGCCATCTACCCGCTCTACCATTCACCATAGACTTTGCCCCATCTCTATAAAGCAGGATTGGTAGCTCCATAGGGTTACATTGTGCAAATTCTTCATGGTAAGGGAATGCACCGCGAGGCACTACTGAGAATGTAATTTTTGCTGCCATGTGTATGTCCTTCACTAACATATTGAATAGAAAATAATTCTGTTTAGGATAGCTCTTTGCTATCCTAAACAGAAGCTTGATCAAATAGAGCCCTCCTCCCCAAAAGGCAAGTGTACACAGACTATCTTTCATTGACGTAAGCCAGAGTTGCCACCCTCTGCCTAGCATGTCTGTCATCTCTAGAATATGCACATATTTTAGTTCATATTGGATTCCTAATGTGATCAAGTAATTAGAATATCTTCATTGATTATCTAGAGCAGTGGTCCTCAACCTTGGGCCTCCAGATGTTCTTGGCCTACAACTCCGAAGTCTTCACCACTACCTCTGCTGGCCAGGATTTCTGGGAGTTGAAGTCCAAGAACATCTGGAGGCCCAAGGTTGGGGACCACTGATCTAGAGGATAGTCACCATGCAGGAAGCACTGAAAAGAGCCTGGTGACACAGGGATTAAACTGTAATATAGCAGTCGAAATTATGCTCACAGTCAGTGATCGATACCAATGGATCTCACAGCCGGCTTGAGGTTGACTTAGCCTTCCAGCCTTCTGAAGTCAGTAAAATGAGTACCCAGCTTTTCGGGTGTGGACAATGTGTAGCCTGTATATGAGGCTCATAATTGTAAACCACCCAGAGGGTGCTTTAAGCACTATGAGGCAGTATATACCGTATTTGCCAGCATATAAGATGATTTCTTTGGCCCCAAAAAGCCAGCTGCCTGCTCGCCCGCCCGCCGCCAGATAGCCGCTTCCCCTCTTCCTCCTCCTCCTCCGCCGCCCATCCAGCTGCTTCCCCTCCTCGCCCTCCTCGCAGCTGAGCCAGCTGCCCGCTTGCCCGCACACCGCCGGATAGCCGCTTCCCCTCTTCCTCCTTCTCTTCCTCCTCCTCTTCCTCCGCTGCCACCACCCTCCTGGCCGCTTCTCCTCGTCGCCGGCCAGGAACTTCCAGGGTGGGCCTGGGCAGAGCCCCGGGCAGCCGCCGCCACCACAGCAGAGCCATCCACTATATTTTAAGTAGAAATGTTTGGGGGTCGTCTTATACGCCTAGTCGTCTCGTACGCCGGCAAATACGGTAAACACCGCACGTTGCTCTTCTTTTTAAAAGCCCATAATAGAGTGGCGCCCATCAGAATTAAGAAACTGCACGCAAACATCATGTCATTCTAGCCATTTGAATTCAAGAATGATGTGATTTCTCATATGCAAATGTGAATTTAAATTAGGATTCTATCCACTCTCTCTTTCCTTCTCTCTTTTCCTCCAACTGCAGTCTTATCCATATGACTGTTATTCTTAGGCCAATTATTTCACTTTTTGTAATGAACCATATAATTCAAGTATCCTAAACCTGGTGTATAGTGTTTATGTTCTTTCTCTACCTGGGTTCTCCAGTTACTGCCATAGCATGCCATAGCTTTTGGTTAAAGATTCTTATACAGTATATGTTATCTAGGTAAAGGGAAAGGTTCCCCTTGAGATTTAGTCCAGTCGTGTCCGACTTGAGGGGGCGGTGCTCATCCCTGTTTCCAAGTGGTAGAGCCAGCGTTTGTCCGTAGACAGTTTCCATGGTCACGTGGCCAGCACGAAACGCCATTACGGGCAGAGACCCGGGCAGCCGCAGCCGCCACAGCAGAGCCATCCACTATATTTTGAGCGGAAATGTTGGGGGGTCGTCTTATACGCCTAGTCGTCTCGTACGCTGGCAAATACGGTAACCCGCAGCGCCACCACGTCCCTATATGTTATCTAGGGACATGGATTTTAGGCTCTTACATATATAAATGAGGTGGTGCCTATGTCTTGCATTCATTTATGGTTTTGTGGCTAAGCCATTGTGATTAATTGCTCTTGAAAAACCCTGAAAGATATAGATAATGTATTTGAAGCTGTTGTTATAAAATACAGTAGTCTGAAGAAATATAAGGGTAAAGAAGCCTGTTTTTTTCTTAGTATTGCAACCAGTAGCTGAAGTTCTCCCTAACTTAAATATAATTGCAGATCAGGATCTTTAGATAAGTCCATGGTTCTGGGAAATCAGAGTGCTTCCCCGCCCACATTTTATATTTTACATTCCTGCTGTGATTTTGCACAATCTGAAACAAAAAAATAGCTTTCTCTGTCAACAGTTCTTCCTTATGTCATTTTGCTCAGATTGGAATTAATGTTTATAGTTGGGCTTTGCTCTGGCTGCACACTGAAGTCAGTGAATGGGAGTGAGGAAAGTTCTTGCTTGGTTCTCTCAGTTAATAATCAGTGAAATTTAAAATTGCTTAACACTGGCTGGTTCATGCACTATCATTGCCAATTTTGACAATTCCAAGATGACAGTTTTTGAAATTTACACTGGGACATTCTCTCTTCTCCATCTCCTGATCAGCTCATTCTCAGACATGTTTTCTGGCAGTCCTTTCAAATCCTAGTGAAATGATGCAGCAAGTGGGAAGATTGCACCTATACAGGTTGTTGGACTGCAACTCCCAGACTAGTACTAGGACTGCAACATCTGGAGGGCCACATGTTCCCTACCTTACAGGCACCTTGGTCCTTTAAAAGAGAAATAGACTCCATACAGAGGTTACTGGGAAGTAACAAGTGACAATGTTATGTATTAAATTCATCAAAGAATTTTCATTTTGTAGTAAATTGGCAGTTAAGACATATTTGAATCTACAAAGCTGCTGCTAAAATTTTAGATGTTTGCATATGCCTAAAAATCAGACTTTGTGTTCTGTGTAATACATGTTTGTTTAATGCCAGAGTAATAGACATATTTGAATCTACAAAGCTGCTGCAAAAATTTTAGATGTTTGCATATGCCTAAAAATCAGACTTTCCTAAAATCAGTGTTCTGTATAATACATGTTTGTTTAATGCCAGAGTAATATCACCAGAGGGCACCCTTCATTCATGATTCTTGTTCATAATGATGTAGTCTATTTAAAGTCTGATTTCTTCTTTTAATGGAAAGTTTCAGTGCTGTATTTTTGAGTGGAAAAAGGAATTTCTGCAAAATCTTTCAAAATATTCTAGTAAGATGGTAAAACAATGGAACGAAAAGATTTTGCACAACAAATAAAGAGTTTTATACCCTGGAGTTTTCTCTGTCTTGTCATTACAAAATTAACTAAGTTAATAGAGAATTGACTTAGTTACATATGGCAATATCTTACTATTACAATATTGTTGTGTTTAACTATTCTCCTTTAGGTACACACACCAAGCAAATAATGTAATGAGGTCTTAGGAGGTATTAGCAATTCCACATGCCTCAGATGTCACTAATTTAATTGGTGCTTTGAACAGATGATCCTGCCAGAACTGGTTTTTAACTGTGTTTATTTTCAGAAAGACCACCAAGACACAGGGTGATATTCTGTTTATTTCCCTCCTCTTAAGTAGTAGGCAGAAGCAGTGGGAATCTGACCATGAAGATCTTGTGTGCTATTGTGGCTGTAAGCATTATCCTCCATCAATTTGTCTAATTCTCCCTCAAGCCAAAAGTCCTAATATCTTCACATTTTTAGTCTGCTCTATTCAGGCTTTAAAGAACATAGGCAATTAGAATCAGATAAGAATGATGACCTGCTTCATGGCCCTGCTCTTTCTTGTAGCATCACTGTTTTCTTGCACATATTAAAAGATTTGCAGACAGTAGCCTACTTGTATTAGAGGGTTCTAAATTCCAAATATGGTCTACTTGAGAGTAGGCTTCCAGTACAGCCATTCTTCAGTGTGCATGGTGCGTATGAGTGCAAAGTATTGCTGTCCAATGACATAGGATGGAGAGAGTAGAGGGAGGTGATACATCTTCTTCCCTCCTATGATTATAGTTGGGCCCTTTGGAACCATGAAAGTTGGGCTTGGTTTTGCAATAGCAGCTGCTATGGGTGCTAAAGACCACAGCCCTCAATCGAAAGTGGTCTGTATTGAAGGAGACAGTGGCTTTGGATTCTCTGGCGTGGAAGTGGAGGCATCCCTATCTAGACACGGGGGCCCTCACCATGCTTGTCCATACGCTCATAATCTCAAGAATAGACTACCGTAATGCTCTGTACGTGGGGCCCCCTTTGAGACTGATGTGGAAACTTGAAATAGTCCAGAATATGGCAGCCAGGCTATTAACAGGGTGAAAAGATTCCATCATATATCCCCCATTCTGGCCACCTTACACTGATTACCTATTTGCTTCCGCATCGATTTCAAGGTGCTGACTATTACATATAAAGCCCTAAATGGTTTAGGGCCTGGATACTTGGCAGAGTGCCTTCTTCCACCTAGTTGTGCCCATTCCAGCCAGGCTGGGCAGTTGACGAGCCTAACTCTAAGAGAGGTCCAAAGGGAGAAAAGTAAAAACCAGGTCTTCTTCGCAGTGGCCCCTCATCTTTGGAACAACCTACCAAAAGAAATCCACCTGGCCCCCTTGCTGAGGGCCTCAAGAGCAAACTAAAGACCTAGCTCTACAAGCTGCATTTCCTAACAGCCATTACTTAGCTTTACATCTTTTTCCTTTTTTTTCCATCTTTGACTCTTGTTGTAAAATTGGGCCTCATTTTTAATGCATTTATATTTTCATTTATTATATTTGTATTTTGGTTTTTGTATTTTGTGTACCACCCAGAGTAGACATGTATATAAGTCTAAATAAATAAATATATCAAAGTTGATATTTTTTTTCTTTTCCTACACTGCTTGCATTGCAGATATAAACAGCTAATGAATGGATGAATGAATAATCTTGCCCTTATTGTATTCCGTTTGCTGTGTTCAAGATGCTTAATTTCTGTGGTCCCCAAAAATGTTTGATGGGATGTTTAGTGAAAGACATGTGCTTGCAGGAGGTGGGGTTGCTGCCAGTGGTAAAACTAGGTAACTTCATGCTATAGATGGAGTGGAGTGACCTTTTAGGCAGCCACCTGTATGGATCCAGTTGTTCTGCTTGCCGTCACTGCTACCCCATGTCTTGCAGCTGCTTCCATATTCTTGATACATTACAGCAATGCACACATGCATGCTCACAAAGACAGAAACCCTGCAAAGTTACAACAGAAAGGGTGGGAAAACTGGATTTTTTACTGAATTGCTGCCAGTTGTTGAACAAAAAAAATGCAAATTGACATATTCAGCTTAAGCGCAAAATTCCTTAAAATTCAGCAGACACATTCCTCCTCTCTGTTTCCTGGTAGAATATTCATTTTCACTGTTGTAATTCTGCCCATCATTGTTAAGTGCAGATTTTCCCATCTAGTCAAGTCTTTATTTCTTCCATCAATTTCAGATAATTATCTTTAATGAAAGTACTTGGTGGGGTTTTTTTGTACAGTTTATTCCAAGATACAGTGGTGCCTCGCTTAACGGGTGCTCGTTTAGCGATGAAATCGCTTAGCAATGACTTTCGGAGCGTTTTTGCGCTTCGTTTAGCGATGATCCCTTTGGGCAATTTTTGCTTAGTTGGGACCATGCTTCGCATAGTGATTAAATTTTGGGTCCCCTGTTTCGCTTAACGATAGTTTAAACAGCCTCATGTTTACTGTTTTTTAAATGTTTTTCTGTTATTTATAAAGTTAAAGTTTACTGTTTAAAATGTTTGAAATCATAAAGTGCACTTAATAAACTCTTTGTTAACCAAATTTGACTTTGTTCTGACTCTTTTTTAATTTGTTGTATTTTTTTCCCCCATTGAGATGCATTGAATAGATGTCAATGAATTTCAATTGGGGAACCGCGTTTCGCTTAGCGATGTTTCCTATGGCGATTTTCGCTTAAGGACGGCAATTCGTTCCTATTGGAATGGATTATCTGGTTTTCAATGCATTTCAACGGGAAACCGCGTTTCGCTTAGTGATGAAATCGCTTAGCAGCGATTTTTTCGGAACGAATTAACATCGCTAAGCAAAGCACCACTGTATTTTACTTTCTTTCCCTCCTGGAGGGAAATTTGTAAGATTCAAGAGGTCATTTATTTCTTTATGTTGCATGTTTTTAGATAATTTTTTTCTCTTTCTATGGTTTATTTTCAGCCCCCCCCCATTTCTCCAAACTTTTTAAATTCTTTCATAAGTACTTTAGTTGATCGTTGTGGATCTTCCACTGCTACGAGTAAATCATCTGCGAAGGCCTGTACTTTAAGGAACTTGTTTCTAATTTTGAGCCCTTTAATTTTATCAGAAATTCTTATCCGATGCATTAGAATTTCAATTACTATCAAAAAGAGCAGTGGTGATAATGGGCAGGGTCTCAGAGTCATTTTTGACCTCGCTTCTATTTGGGCTGGCTGAAGTTATGTATTTTCTTCAAACCCAATATTCCCCATGGTGAAGGAGGGGTGGTGGTCTTCAAACATTTTGGGTAATATGAATGGCCATTTTATTATATTTTTCCCAGTTTTTCAGGGGAGGACCTACACTGGAAGCGCTGGTGGGCACCGTGCAGCCTATAGGCTGCAGTTTACCTGCTCTTGATTGAAGAGCTCAGTCCTGTACATATCAACTCAGAAATCAGTCCCAAAGTGTTGTTTTGGACACATTCCAACCTATGTGTTTATGAAGTTGTATAGGAGAATTTTCAGATAGATAGTGCCTTTCAGTATGCAAGCAATTAAGGCCCTTCTACAGCTTTTCATGCTTTTCCTCATAACAGAGGTTTGGCAGGAAGAAAAACAATGAAGGAAGCAGTAAAAAATAGGGGCGGGATAAAGGTAGAGAATACTATCATATGAAATCCCAGTATCATATAAAATTCTGAGGGACGATGGGGCTGGCAAGCTAAAAGTTGCCTCTAAGCCAGTAAGGGAGGGGGGTGTCAAACTACATGTCATGCTTAGCACATATTTAGAGGAGATGCTTCTTCAAGTGATGGAAAACATCTTTTTCTCATCGTATTTGCTTTTTCCTCACCTCTTTATCTTTCACTTAGAGTGCTCTGTTTTATGATTTATGAGTATGGTTGCTGAGCCATGCATCTCTTTTACAAGCCAAAATCCTGTTTGTGTAAAGTTACATGGTGGAAGCTGATGATGTCGTTAGCTGGCACCACTAACAGTTAATTAAAAGCTTCCTGTGCCTTTGTTTTAGATTCTGTGACTCCCCAGGGATCCCTTTTGGCCTGTGAAAGCCTTGGGATATAGGACAGCCTTTAAAAGTAAACAAGCAAAACAAAACAAAAACACCTGCGAGATTGCCACCACCAGGATCGGGACCACTGGTGGCAACCCAACTGTGATTTTAGACTTTTTAAGCTTCCTTCTCATTTCAAAACTTTCTCAAAGCAAAAGGGAACATCAGAACCTAAAATGGCACAGGAGATATTACTGGTGCCAACTGATGACATCATCAGCTTCCACTGTATAACTTTACACAAACAGGATTTTGGCCAATGAAAAATTGTAATTACCCAGGAGTAACAACATGCATGTATTAAAAGCAATCTTGACCTTCAGGACCAAAATATACAGCCAGAGACATGTGCCCTTTCCATGGTCACAATATAACTGTATGCAAATAGGATTTGGGCCATTGTCTTCCTGGGCCTAGTGATATGCAATGTACACTCTAGAAAGAGTATTAAACACTCTAATATTACAATATTTTCAAATTAGTTACAAAGACCAGACTTGGTATACAGAAACATGAACGAATTGTGCCCATATCCCTAGTGTGGAATTGTTAACAAAAGAGAGAGAAGGAGACCAATATTTAATGAATGGAATTATCTCAGTGCTTGTCTGATTGCCAGCCAGGGATGTGCTTTTCCATTCAGTTGAGAATTGCCCCCCCTTCATTAGTCCTCTGGCTATATTTTAATAGATGGTATTTGTGATGGGGGCATCTGATCCAGTACTTGAGTTAAATATAGCCCTGTCTAGTGTAAGGGGAAGATTTAATGGGAAATGGTTAGCATTCTTGCTCTGTAAAGCTCGCTCTCTCACACACACACAGATAGAAGAGAAAGCCTTGCACACATAAACATACCCAGCCAGTGAAAGAGCAAAAGAGAGCAGCAAGCAAAGAAGCAAAACAGGCAGGCAGAGAAGACAGTAGCCAAGAAATCCACATATTGGGATTACACAGCTGGCAGCCAGCATGGTCATCCTCAGCTGTGTGGCATTGGGACTTTACCTTCAACTCCTTTTCTGCTTTGCTCTGTCTCAGAATTCTTTTGTTGACAGTGTCTTCTCAATTTCCACAGGTAAATCGCGCCTTTGCTTTGCTTTCTTAGTGACTTACATTGCTCTGTTATTGAATCTTCCTGCTACTCTAACCACTCAGATTTTGTACTTTTGCAGAGATTGAAGGGGGAAAACACCATAAAAATGCAAATTGCATGCTTAATCGCAAGTTTGCATGACTCAATAAGCAATTGTTTTCCCTGGTTTAGACCTCTTCTCCTCTATGCTTTATTTTATTATTCCTGATGTTAGGAGATGTTACTGACATCTTTTAAACAGACCATATTCATAAACTTCCCTATCAGTGAGCAAATAGGCTTATTCATTAGCAAATGTTCCCTTTAAGGGCTGTATTTTTTTTACAGAGGCGTAAATGAAACAGATGAGAGGAGAGATGATTCATATTGCAGTGTATATCTGCCCTTGCTAATATATCCCAGACCTTGTTCAGCACTGCAAGAGCTGGATATTATTAAAGTAAACATCTTCGGGCCATGGCAATGACACTAATAAAATGCTCAGATGACTTTCATAGCAAACAAAAGCCTCCCAAGCAAATCCCTGATCGGCACAAGGTAAAGGGCATGGATGGTCTCTGTGGAGAGAATCCTATTTTCTCTGTTAATCCAGCAGGCTTTCCTTCAGCTGTATCCACTGGAAAGAAGAGAGGGAACGGAAAACACCTTTCTTTCAACTGTTCCTGCCTCCCCTTGCTGTGACAGAAATTTACTTTTCCAGTATAAAGACCAAGAATAACTTGGCTTCAAACAATTCTAGACTTTGTGGGGTTTTTTTTGTGAATCTTAAGATCCCAGTTTTACAAATTCATTCTAAAGGGACACAGTATTAGGTTTCAATGTAATTGCAGGGGTGTATATTTTTATTTGAGTCATGTGCAATCTTTCTCCTAAAATCAAGGCAGTTCACAGCAAGATTGTTGACAGGTACAGAAAAAAAAACTCTGCTCTAGAACTGCTGTTACTGGAAGCAGTAATGGTCAGAGCTGGCCCTTGCACAAGGCAGAGCTTCAGGCTGCCATGAAAGGACTGTAAATAGTTAATTGTTTTATTTATTATTAAATTATTTGTACATCTAAGGTGAGGGAGAAGTGCATATGAGCTTTTCTGGCTCCAATGCCTAAGGAACATGACCATCCTTGGATAGTATGTACGCTTACACTCACATTTAGTGTGCAAGTGTGCTCATTGATCTACCTCAGGCGATAACATGTTGTGAAGGGAAAAATTCTGGGGAAGTCTTTTAAAGCATCAAATAAAGTGTGTCTGTGGTAGCAGGCTTTTAATATTTTGCAACAAGTACTAATTCCTGGCATTATTATTTTTTAGAATTTAATGTTCCTTTTAAATTCAGGACCTTCTGAAACTATAAAAGTGTCAGTGACTAATGTATAATATTCTAATGAAGCTGCAGTAATATCTCCTGCAGATATGTATTCTTGATTTTGATTCACTGTGAGCAAATCAAAATTTCTTCATCTAAAGAGAACTCTTTATCTCCATCCAAATTTTATTTAGGTGGAAATATATGGTACTTCACAATAACTAGGAGTTGAGCAAAACCATCGTCATTAGAGACACAGAGAAAATAAATCTGAAAAAAAATTGCAGAAGCTTAATAAATCAGGTGTTTTTTCTTGAGAGATATCTCATCCATCCATCCATCCATCCATCCATCCATCCATCCATCCATCCATCCATCCATCCATCCATCCATCCATCCATCCATCCATCCATCCATTTTTTCATTTGTATCACTTCTTTCTCCCAGTTCAGGGGCCCAAAGTGGCTTTAAAAATGGCAAGGAGGAGGACAGTGACAGATCCATAATTTAATAATATTAAAGGACAGTGGAACCTTTTTAAAAACCAAAGCAATAACAAAAAAGACACATAAAAGGGAGATGTTTAAAGAAGAAAGGAAAAGAACAACAGCCTTGTAAGAAAAAACACTACAGTTGTTCACTACAGTCCTCTAGATGGAAAATACCAAGTTCCTGGAAATTACTTTTTGGAAGCGGACTCCCACCTGCTTTGTTTTAAATTCCTTGCTGCTGGCTTTTGTAAAACCTACATTTTCTGTTTTGAATTCTGAAATGAACAATAGCATTTCCTGATATACCACATACAATGTAACAGGTTTCAAATGTCTAAAAGAGTGATGATTATTTTGGAAAGGATGGAGGAGTAGAAAGAGTGCTTGAAGCATGTGTGGTGATCTTGTGAATAAATTCAAGAATTCTGGCACAGTGGGGGGGAAAGCACTTTATTTGCATCTTGATCAATAACCAAAAGCTGGCCCAAAGAGAAAAGCCTTTATCTGCCACAGAAGAAGGGCAGCAGGGAGGGAGACGTCCTAGTACCTTGAGAAAGGGAATTCTGCTGTCTGTGAGCAGCTACTGAAAAGTCCTTACGAGACATAATTATGAGGGCCCTGGAACCAGGAAAAGGGCCTTGGCCCCAATGCCCTCAGAAGGAGCAGCTTAGTACATGCACAACAATTTTTAAAGTCTGGGAAGGCTCATATGGGGAGATGCAGTCTTTCAAATAGTGATTTATGTGTCATAACTACTGCTTTAATTTAGACCCAGAAACGGCCTGAAAGCTAGTGGAACTGGTGTAAAGGGGAGTTATATGCTCCCTGTAACCAGTTATAGTCAATAATCTGGCTACAACATTTTAGACCAGGTAAATTTTCTAAACTTCAGAAGTTTTATTGGTTATATTTCAGCACAGAACAGTTGTTTCAGGCCACACTCTCTTTCTCTGTTCATCCATGAATCAATTATTAATTTTGCAAAACTTTTGTTTTAGAGGAAAAATCATTCAATGAGGCTTATTCCCTTAAGCATGCATAGGATTACACCCTACGGAGCAATCCTAAACCTATTTAATAAATATATTTTTGGGACTTATTCCTTAGCAAGTGTGTTTAAAACTCTTTACCTCAGAGAAAAGGGGCAGTTGGGCTATGTGCATGCTTAAGAAGTTTTTTGAAGAAGTTTGAAACTGCATAGGAACAACTGGAATTGGTGAGAATTATCTGCAAGATAGAGCACACTCCATGAACCAGAGAGCTCTAAATTACCTCACCAAAATATAACACTTGGATTGCTTTGGGATGCATAGTGTTATGGTAGCTGAAGTGATGTCAGATTGCTATATCTGGGCTGTATAAATGCACTCAGGGTGTCACAGTGAAGAGGCCGTATCTCCAGTCACCACTCATATAACTTTAGTAGATGGGTGAACCTAGAGGAATGCTTCAGCTGACAAGCATCATGTTCAGGCACTTTCATATGAATAGGCAGATGTGACACTGAATTACCATTCTAGTACCTTCGCTTTACTGAGGACGTGGTGGCGCTGAGGGCTAAACTGGAGAAGCCTGTGCTGCAGGGTTAGAAGACGAGCAGTCATAAGATCAAATCCACGCAACGGAGTGAGCACTCGTCGCTTGTCCCAGCTCCCGCCAACCTAGCGGTTCGAAAGCATGCAAATGCAAGTAGATAAATAGGGACCACCTTGGTGGGAAGGTAACAGCGTTCCGTGTCTAAGTCGCACTGGCCATGTGACCATGGAAGATTGTCTTCGGACAAAACGCTGCCTCTATGGCTTGGAAACGGGGATGAGCACCGCCCCCTAGAGTCGAACACGACTGGACAAAAATTGTCAAGGGGAACCTTTACCTTTACTTTTTACCTTCTCTTTAAAGCCACATTAATTGGAGCCCAGATAGCTAGCTTCCATCCATTCACGATGACTGGTCCATCTCCCAAGGCCTTGCTACAAAATTAAGTGATGTCAACACAGTTAGAAGAGAGCCTAGCTCCATCCCCTTCTGCCCTTTTTTCTCTACATGTTTGGCAGTTCTGAAGATAATTCCCTGTTTGAATGCAGGTCCCACATGTGAGCAAGAACCCTGGAAAATCTGGGTTCTTGCTCATATGCAAAGCCCATACACAAGAGGGAACCTCTCTCCAGACTCATTGCTATTCACAAGGAAAACATGATGATGGAGGAGAGAGCAATAGTTAGACACTCCCTTCTAACTGTATTGACTGTGCTGAATTCCATAAATGGTTGAACAGGTCTCTTCTTATCATTGTCTGGTACACAAATAGTAATACAAACCCCTTGATATGTTAGCATCAAGCCTGAAAAAGCAATGCCTTTTTGGAGTGACTTGAATTCTACCAAAAAAAAAAACAAAACCCACACAAACACACCTCTATGGTGCTGCATATCACTGAGTGAATTTAAAAAACTTAAAAGCATTTATTCACACAGAAAAATGAGATACTGAGCTAGGTAACAATCTTCTGGTATCTGACCAGAGGAATACGCTAAATATATTAAAGGATAGATTTTGACAAAACTTCTGTTGAGATTAATAGGGAATTAAAGAGCTTGCTTTCTATCAGGATTACAATTAGAGCAAAGGTAGAGATGATACTAATAATATGACTCCAATTAGCATGCATGTTTTTGTTAGATATAGAAATAGCAACCACTGGAAAGAAAGGAAAGGAAGATTATTTCTTTTCTCCCCAACAAAAATCACTGAAGCTGCTGTTTGCATTTCAAGGGAAACTAACATTTAGCTTCAGTGCATGATTTAATGTGGGGTTGGGAGATTCCCTCAAGCTTCCCATTACTTAAATAAGAAATAAATCTGTGTTAATTGAATTCAGACAAACATTGTGTCTCGTTTGGGCCTGAGATAATGCAGCTGGCCTTTCTGACTATACACCATGAAAAATGGCAGCTACATGTTTAAGAAAAAAATAAAAAGCTAACCATTGTTTATAGGAGAATAGGTCTCTCTTGCTCTAGGTTAATGGTAGATAACTTCCCCCCCCCATGAGGGACGTGGTGGCACTGCGGGTAAAACCGCAGAAGCCTCTGTGCTGTAAGGTCTGTAGATCTTCAGCTGTAAGATCGAATCCATACGACGGAGTGAGTGCCCGTCGCTTGTCTCAGCTCCCACCAACCTAGCAGTTC